ACAGTTAATAAAAGGCCAACAATGATCTATGTTTTGTGCAACAAGCCCGTGAACCTTTAATCTGAATGATAGAAGATAAAACATAATATTGATTCAGCTACTATAATATAAATTAGAAGTAAGAGTACGTAGTAGTTATCATTGTCTTTTAAGGTGACCTTTAACTATTAAAACTATCAAGAAAGGACAAAAATCATACTGGTATTGTTAATGATTAGCATTAAGGACAACTAGTGAAGTCACAGAACGAGTTCCAGCATAAGATAGGAAATAAGGTTCTACCTGAGACAGCTTCCTCGGCTACTTTTGCATGTTGCTTTACCAAGTCTTCCTTCTCGCGGATAGTCTCAAGAGCTTCTGATAATTTAGCTGATAGAGTCTTAACAGTTTCATTAAGTTCTGCATCGGTGGGAGCTGTTTTAGATGTGACTTCAGGTGATTGAATGTTGTGATTCAGAAGAACCTTAGAAACAAACAAAGATCAATCAGCAAGCATACATCATAAAAAGAGGACTTCACTACACCAATATTTCATTCTCTTTTCATTTCATTAAAATAATAATTACAATTTTCTAACGTACATCTCCCAGTTTCGATTTTGATCAAAGGCAGGAGTTTGGGGGAAAAGTTACAAGGTAACGAGCATTAGCATATCATATACCTCTTGCTTCCTACATATTAAAGAAATGATATTGGGATGGAACCTATTAATGATTTGAAATCCATGACAGGCAAGTGTATAGCGCCAAAGTTATACATTTCTTTTTAACAAGAGACCTAAGACATCTGATACATTTGAGGTAGAGATAATTAGTTGAGCAGTCAAAGCAGTGAGAGATGAAAGAAAATGAATGATTATGGAAGTAGCAAATAAGTGGATAAAACAGAAACCTGATCATCTGAGAAATGGGATGAAATGGATCCAGCAGAGCTTTCAGTTTCACCACTAGGACTCGACTTCCTCCGCCACAACCAACTCCGCCGGTCCATCCAAACTCTACCTCCTCATTTTTTTGTGTCAACAAAGAAATTAATAAGCAAAATACCAAACGGAACCCCTTTACCTAAACAATTGAAAATGGGGGCTGCCTTTGATTACAATTCACATCTCACAATCACTACCTAACACTATTTCAAGTTGGAGGCATTTCAATTTCAAACTATACACTAGAATGAGTTGTTGATATCCATTCCCCATAAACAATCATTACTCTGAAACCCAAACAGAGGAAAATTGGGGATAAACCACACAAAAACTGAAAAAGATTGTGACCCACCAGAAAAAGATACCCCTCCCCAATCCCCCCAAAAAAAAAAAAAAAAGGTCAAGCCTTTCCTACCAGAAAAATCAATTTTATATATACATCATCCATGCAAAGTAAACCTACCCCCACAAAAATTACCATCATAGAATCTTCATCGAATACTGAAAAAGCAAACACAGGCCTAAACAATTATCCCCAAAAAAACATTTATACACAAGTATTTCCCATTAAAAAGTAAGATTGGAGCTTTTTGACAGTGTATACTCATAGCAATAATATCAATAGGAGAAGCTGGTGAGTGAAGACAAAGATAACTTTGCTTTCCTTGTTTTTTCATCAAAAGAAGACAATGACATCTTTTTTTTTCTATAAAATAATTGTTTTTATAGTCTTAGCTTGTATGTTGTAACAAATAAAAGATTATTCCCGCGCATGTATTTGCAACATTTTCAAAGGTATAATAATGATAATTCATCTTAGTGGGTACCTCGACGATGGCGAGAGGACAAACAACAGACTTATATCAGTGGCAAAAATTCCGGAATTAAAATATGTAAAATATCAAGTATAAGCGGACCAAATTAAATAAAAATATTAAAAAGAGGGTGGACCAGAGTTTGGAAACTTTAAACAAGAAAAAAAGGTGGACCAAAGTTTGTTATCCTTTATGTTAATAAAAAATAATAAAATAATTCAAAATTCCTTCACGTTATACATGTAACATGTTTTGTCAAGTATCATATATCATCATCATATATTACTAAATCATGGAAGGATCTAAATTAAAAATTAAATTACGAAAATATCCTTTAATCATATATATATATATATATATATATATATATATATATATATTTATTTATTTATTACTAATTACTAAAAGTGAGAAGGATCTAAAGCAAAAGTTGAACTACGAAAATATCCTTTGAGTATTAATTTATTTTCTTAAATTTTTTATTTAAATTTCATTTAATATTTATTTTGGGATTCAATGAATTTTGTCCGTTCGTATTATGATAATTAATACTCCTATTTCCAAGACTTACAATTCAATACACATCATTAAATTGCAAGTTATTATTAGCAAGAAAAAAACAACAATCTTTACATCTTCCACATACTAATAATGATGATTTTTCATAATCATAGTAACTATGAATTTTTTAAGAATTAGTCATAATGATCCTAACTTAATAAATAACCTAACTAAAAATACCACTACAAAGTCATACACAAATAGTCATTGCTACTAACTCACATTCTAGACAGTCGCAACGCCCATGTAATCCCATTAGATGCAACTTTTAGCTTTTCTCTCTTCAAAACAATCAAACATCCAACACTATTCCACATCAAACACCCAACTTCTGCAAACAACGAGCAGGTGTGAAAAAAATGAACTATGCCATGGTACTGCCCTATTAATTCAAACCTTCATCCATAGTGTGTTATTTGCCTTTCTTCTACAGTGTGTTATTATTATGGGCGGATATTTCATGTTCAACAAACATTGGAATAGGCTTTTGGGAAATTTCTGGCCACCATTAATGCCTTGTAAGTTATCGATTTATACCTCAAAATATTCATTGATATATCCTCATGAAACTCCTGTACTATTCATTGTATGGGCAAAGGGTATCATCATAACAGAAAACATGAAGATTATCTTACTTTGCACTGCTTCAACAATGGTAAGTTTGATTTTGAAATTTTCTTTGAGATTTCATCCATACAGAATTTGCTAAAACTCTTGAAGAGGTGTCCTTAAATGTTCTCTTCTGGAAGGAAAGTGATTTAGATTCTTTTGAAAACATGTAAATATTTGCCTACAATGCCTACAAATTAATAGACGCCAACATGTCATTACTCAATTTGGAGAAACGATGCTTCAGTCTTCAGAGAAAATTTGTCATTTTTAAGAACAACTTACTTTCGAACAGCCATATGCCTTTTTGTGGCCATGATGGAGTAGCCGATTGGGTAATAGTATTTGCACAAATTTGAGTAGATGATATTGTCGTCTGAATCTTCCTTATTTGTTCAATGTTGATGATATTATTAAGGAAAAAAACATGTGTTATCATACACACGATGGTGGTTCATCGTCTCTGCTACAAATCTTTGACTGATCTATTAAAATTCTTCGAGGATGGGTCATGTGCGCACAAATACCATGAAGAAGTCATCGCGAGAAGAGCAGTGCATGAGGTTTTGGATGGAAATGCTAATAAGAGAACAATTGCAAAGATTTTGTGGGACGTGGAAGAATTGTTTTTGGTAGATTATATGTTAGTTTACCCAGATTTTCTTTAATGAGTCTTACAAACTCATTTCATTGTTGAGACATAAATGATGAACATCCCTTTATTGTTTTTTTTTTACTTTATAAAAGAAATAATATTGGGCAAAAGGAAGAAGAAGAAGGAGGAGAAGGAGAAGGAGAAGGAGAAGGCGAAGAGGGAGGAGAAGAGGGAGGGGAAGAGGCAGGAGAAGAGGAAGAGGAAGAGGAAGAGGAGGAAGAGGAAGAGGAAGAAGAGGAAGGAGAAGGAGAAGGAGAAGGAGAAGAAGAAGGAGAAGAAAGAGGAGAAGAAGAAGAAGAAGAGGAGGAAGAAGAAGAAGAAGAAGAAGAAGAAGAAGAAGGAGAAGAAGAAGGAGAAGAAAGAGGAGAAGAAGAAGAAGAAGAAAGAGAAGAAGAAGAAGAAGAAGAGAAAGAGGAAGAGGAAGAGGAAGAGGAAGAGGAAGAAGAAGGAGAAGAAGAAGAAAGAGAAGAAGAAGAAGAAAGAAGACGAAGAGGAAGACGAAGAGGAAGAAGAAGGAGAAGAAAGAGGAGAAGAAAGAGGAGAAGAAGAAGAAGAAGAGAGGAAGAAGAAGAAGAAAGAGGAAGAGGAAGAGGAAGAGGAAGAGGGAGAAGAAGAAGGAGAAGAAGAAGGAGAAGAAAGAGGAGAAGAAGAAGAAGAAGAAAGAGAAGAAGAAGAAGAAAGAGAAGAAGAAGAAGAAGAAGAAAGAGAAGAAGAAGAAGGAGAAGGAGAAGGAGAAGGAGAAGGAGAAGAAGAAGGAGAAGAAAGAGAAGAAGAAGAAGAAGAAGAGAAAGAGGAAGAGGAAGAGGAAGGGAAGAGGAAGAGGAAGAGGAATCAATTTATACTCTTTCAAAATTTGGCCTTGGGGTAAATCGGCGAGGTAAGTCGCGCGTTGCCAATAGGTCCGCGATTTGCCAATCGCCTTTATCCACCGCTTTCTTATCTTGAGTTTTCATCTAATTTGTAATGTAACTTTAGGCGATTTACGTCAGGGTCACCGATGGATTCCACGATGCGCCATTTGGTCCTTTGGATCGCTATTTTTCTTGCACCTTCATTGATCGTTCTGTAATAATCGGCAGACTAAATCCTCTTTGCTGATCCAATCAACGCGTCGCTAATTGGGACTATCCTTAGTCCAATTTCTCTCATCATACTATAAATTTTGGTGGGTGAAGAGGCCACTCGGCGGATCGCCGAGTGGAGTCCGCGATCTTTGATGAGTCCACAATTTGGACTCATTTAGGGCTATCTTTTGATAGAATTAGTGTCTTCAAATGCATATTTTGTCTCAATATCTGATGAAAATCCTTAAGTTTCAACTTTTTAGAGTTTGAGGCAAAGCATGGACATTACTTGGCAAGAAGGAACAAGGCGGCTGAAAAGAATGAATAAATGAAGGCCTGAAGATCGCCGAACCTAGTTGGCAAGACGCCGATAAGCCTGGCGATCGCCTTTTGTTGCAGTGTGCTTAGTTTCGAAGGAAAATGTCAAGTTGGCGATGAAATGAAGCAGTCAGCGTGTCGCCGATCAGTTTCGCGAAGTAGTACTATATAGCCCAACGACTCAAAATGCGAAGAGGTTGAAGGCTAAAGCAGGAAGGCGATGAACTCGACCAAAAGGTGAATCGGCGAGGGTATCGGCGATCTCGACTAACTGCGCCGAATTTTCCTCCGCAGCATAAATTTTCAAACACTATAAATACTTGTTTAAATTTCTAGTAATGAGATCATATCAGTTCTATTATTTGAACTTTTTACAGTTTTTGGAGAATTGTTAGTTTTAGAGGGTTTTGGAGACTTTGTTCTAAGACCTTAAAGATTCAAAGGGTTTCAACTCCAAGAAATTGGACGTGGGTCTAGAAGATTCTTCACTCTTGACGTGGTTTAAGACTTAATTCTTCATACCCAGTTGATGGAAACTGATATTGGTATAAATTTTTATCTCTTTTACATGTCTAGCTAAAACCCCAATTCTTGGGATGTGATTTTGTGAATATGGGTTAAATTATCTGTTGGGTCTTACTTGTTGATGGTTTATTTGTTGTTTAAATGTGATTTTGTTTAGTAGTTGTGTATGAACTTAATGGGATTGTAGTTGCAAATACGATTTCATCTTAGTGTTTTTGGCTTGCTCGAGAGAGAGGTTGTAAAACTAAGACTACTAAATTGATAGCCGTATTGGGTCCACATGGGTTCAACTCGAGAGAGTGAATCCTAGTCCTTCTCCCACACATTCAACTCGAGAGAGTGAATGGGCTAAGGCGGAGGTTGTGCTTAAGGCGGCAACTCGGTGTTCGAGAGAAACCGAGTTGATTTCGACTAAGTTGCTCGAGAGAGAATTGACCCCCACTATAGTCTAGCCTAGTCACAAATGCTCAACAATTTACTATCAAAAGCATGTACCTGATAGTCTAGTTTAACCCATATTCCTATCACATCCCAAGAATCCCATCTCCGTATCTCGTTTCCTTATATTTTTACTCTTTTATAGTTGTTAATCAATACAACCCCCATCGATAATTGATGCTTGTGTCACTCCTTAGATTTAGTATGGTTTTATTCATTAATATTTATAGCTATGACTAATTAGAACTTGATTTTATTTTTCTACTAATTCTCAAAACCACTCCCTGTGGCAACGATCCCAACCCTTGGTTGGGTTATATCACTACACATGAACGTTTGGCACTTGAACCGAAATAGTGTCAGTTGATTGAGCCGAACATCAAAATAGTCTCGCGCCGGGGAGTGGTGTTATTAGAGAATTTGTAGTTAAGTAGGATTTTTGTTCTTGTTGGTTGTAGTTTTACTTACCTAATTTTTAGTTTTGTATTTTTCTTGTTTGAGCATTGAAACAGAGGAGGTGAGTATGTCAAGCAGTACTTGTGAGTAAATAGAGTTTCCTC